GTGGGATTGTGTATGGTTCCTTGCTTTCTCCTTTTCCTTCGCTTCGCTACCCTGTGTTTTATCATAATCTTCCAAAACAAGAACAGACAGACACATAATCGTAAACATAATTATGTCTAAATAAAGGTGCAAATGGATGTCTTTTTTTATCTTTTTTTTATGAATGTCGTTTTCGTTTTTTATGAATGGAACATTCCACTTATTCAACACAAAATTTAAAATTTTACTAGTATTTGAAAAAAAAAAATGCTTATCCCACACACAAATACTAAATTCCACACAAATTTAAATTCTACAATTTTGATGATAAAATGATGGAATAGATTTATTCCATTATTTTTTCAATTCCATTCATCATCCATGTATATTCCATCAATTCCTAAATGCTTAATGCTTACAGAATATATGTAGGGGACTTAATGAATTACCAGGGTGATTCTCATGGATCTCGTTGTCCTTTTGAAGTGTTTGATTACCTCCATAGATTCCTCCAAACCCTTCATCATCAGCCCTCGTCGCGTACCCTTCTCCAAACGAATGAGACATCACGTCACTGTTCCATTAATTCAAGGAAAAAGATACGTTAGAATAAGTTCCAAACAAATCAGAAACTATATCATATATGTATATATATGTGGAGGCAAACCCGATTTTCTCGTTTGGATTTTCAGGCTTTTTATCCATCTTTTGCTGGTCAGAAGCGGTGGCGAAACTAACTCCGGTAACTCTGCGTCCAAGTTGAGACGGTCGTGACAAGAAAGAGACGTTGGTCGAAGGCAGCGATCGGATTGTCTTAAACACGTTGATCATTTCTAAGCTTTTCCAAGTAATTATTCTCAAGCTTCAATTTATAAGGGAAGTAGTTTTAATCGATAAGTTAAAATAGGTGTAATGATACGAGTGATTAAAATCTTGTGAAAGAAAACAAAAAAGGGGTTAATGTCTTCCGACATAACAGTACGATGGTGTCTTGATTCAATTTCACCACGTGGAAAGCAGATGACAAGTGGCGGTACGAAGAAAGGAGTTGAATACGTGGTCAGATATGGGACACGTGTTTAAGAGATGCGGAAGGTTCAATTTTCCATGACAAATCCTGTTTAACCAATTTGGGCCAGCAAGAAAAGTTAAATGGCCCAAATTAAATTGGGCCGGGACTGGTCAACAATGTATTGACAGAAGTCAGTGGGGACCACGTGACCGTTAAAGTATAGCGAGTGGAGGACGTGGAGGTGATGTCATCATTGGCACACTCAACGAAAAACAAAATCAGTACAGTGACTGAGACTGACACTGAAAGACTCAAATAAGTGTGAACATTATTTTTAAACAAACAAACGAGATAATAAAAATTAAGTTGAAGTTGATTTATGACAAGAAAATTAGACAGAAATTGTAAATATTTGCACGTATTTTCAAATTTAGCTTAATAAATTTTACCATATTCATATACCCTACTCGTGATTGTAATCTCAAAACTGGATTGCTTATCTTTGTCTCTATCTATTTAAAGCAAAGTTACAAATACAAGGATGCTTACATAACATATATTATTTGGCTTATCAACAGATTACCAACAAAAAAGTAAACAAATTCAAATTATCTAAAGAACAAAAGTAGCTGAGAGAGTCAACAACAAGACTAAGAACAGCTTTTTACCTACTTCACAAAACCAACAATGTTTAAAAAAATTACATAAAAAACACACATTGAGCATCAGAGAAATTCAAAACCTACCCCTGAAATAATTCAACATTGAAACTAAAAGAACCAAAACACTATCATCAAAACCATAAGCATATATATTAACATTTGAATTTTTTTTTTTTTTTTGTCTAACCAAAAATAACACTTGACACAAAACAAAACTAAAAGTACCGGTCGGTTTGGTATGGTTCGGCATGTCATCGCCACGAAGAAACAGTGAGGAGAGGCAAATCGTTCCAGGCCAAAGAGATGAAACCTGGTTTAGATTCAACAAGTGAATACGAATCAACGTAATTGTAATTCCACAATAGAATCTTCGCTTGGCTCATTGCGTAATTACTCAGCTTAACCGATTCAAAACCGGCATTCTCCATTAATACCCGCCATTGTTCTTTCTCCTCCATTCGTTCTCTCTGATTTCCGGTTTTCTCCGGTCCGATCAAACCCGAAATACGTTGACCGAAAAGTAATCGCTCCACCCTCACTCTCTCCTCCGAATCTCTTCTCAACTTCGGTTCCAGTGATTCGAAAACCGCGGAGTAGAATTGAAGCGCGTTTTTAACCCGGTTAGAAAAACCGACCCGGTTTAAACTTACCTCGTACTCTCCGAGAGTGACGACCCTCGGGTTTAACGATTTCGCGAGCCGTAGCGCGGTGTCGACGATCGTCGGCGACTCGTCGAGTAATTTGTAGAGCTGAAGCATGAAGTTCACGGCGAGTACTTCATCCGGGTCAACCCGGAAACTCGACCCGTTTAGTAAATGGATTGGAGTGAGGATTGGGATGAAATCGAAATTCAGATCCAGAACCTTAGCGAAATCACGGAGTCGGTTTCCGGTGGCGATTAGCGACGGCTCCGGAGATTCGCCGAGTGATGGAGCGGGAATACCCGAGACCCGGACTTGGGTTGGTTTACCAGAAGAACGTGTTGCTAGAGCTTGAAGAAGAGCAGGCCATTGAATACCTTGAACGATTCCGAAATCGACGATGTGAATCTTTCTTGAATTCTCCGTAGCTTCTAGAATCGCTTGATTCGCAGTCAAATGAGCGAATTTGGAGTACGGAGATGCGTCGTTTAGGGTTTTGTACGCGAGGGTTAACTCTTCGACAGTCGGCGAATTCTCCGAATTGGAATCAGGAGATATTCTGTTGCAGAGAGCTTCCGTGAAGTAAAACCCGACTCGCTCCGTCGGGTCGCCGAGCTCTGATACTGATTCTCGGATCCGAACAAGCGCCTTGGAAGCGGCGTCAGGGTCAGTGTCTAAGATCCGTGCACAGTCGTATATAGCTTTGAGGAGAGGCGGTTCTAATTCGAAATCCGGCGAGCCACCGTCTTCGGAGTCGTTAGTCTCTGGATCTATGGTCGTATGATGAATCGGAGATTGAGGCGGAGGAATCGATAATGGAGAAGACGGAGCCCACAAGGTAGAAGAAATCGGCGGATGAGGAATCGGACTCGACGTATCGATGACTCGGTTGAGATCTGACGGTGGGACGCTGAGTCGACTCGGATAAGTAGCGAAAGGATCAGGACCGTAGATAACGAAATCGGGATTGTTTTGCCACGTACAATCAGGACCATCCGCCGCCACCGCCGAGTCACCACCGCTAATAAGTGTCTCCATCCACTCGTCGGACTCAAACTCACCGCCAGTTCCACCGTCGAAATCAGACAACCTAAACCCACCACCGCCAACACCGGCGGTTGCCGGATGGTGATGGTCTAAGTTAGGAAACGGAAAACCAGAATCACCGGGATCTCCGCCGGTGGTAACTTGAAACGGGTCAGGAAAACCCGAACCGGAAAGCCCGAAACCGAGTGGATTAGGCCATGGATTAAGAGACAAAGGATTAATACCAAAAATC